AAGGAAACTCCCTTAATTTCAAGGGTTGGTTCGTTTGTTTGTTCCTAATGCTATGCTTCTTTTGCTTGCTATTGTTGTTGTGCTTCATTTCTTCGTTGGCTGCCCTCTTTGGGTATTCTTCTTCCTTCTTTGTTGGCTGTCAAATTTTGGGTTTTTGTTTTAAAATTCTGTACTTATGTTGAATTGTTGTTAATTAGAAATTGTCAATTTTTTGTGTTGCAATGTCGAATTGTTGGTATGTTCCATTGGAAATAAACAAGTACAAGTGAAAATGGTAATTAGTTTGACATAGCATTAGTACTTTAATAGCAAAGGAAAATAGAGAAAAAATTGAAGAACAAATGAGGTGAGAATACAACAAAGGAAAGTAGGTGAAATTGAGTGAAAAAAGAAATGGAGGGAAAGCCCTAGCCATGCTACTTAACTAACGTTCATTATATGAGTTAAACCTCTCATTAATAGCAATCATGCAACTAATATCATACTTAGGAAATTGTTAGAAGTATGGGATTATATTTGGGATTTTTAAAAACTAAGGTACACCATTGGGAAATTAAAAAAGTTCAATCACACCATTTGAAATTTCTTGTTTCTTTTTCAAAAATTAAACCGTTTGCTTAATTCTACTCACATTTTTCTAAAAAGAAAAAGAAAAAAAAAAAAAAAACTCCCTTAATTTCAGAGGTTGCTTCTTCTGTTTGTGCTTCTATTACTTGCTATTGTTATTTTGCTTTGTTTCTTAAACATAATCTAATATGCTACTCCGTATGAAATACGATACCGTAGGTGGTCTGAAATTAGTGTTATGATCAGAGAACTTTTGTTCTGATTTGTGTGATTCTCAAGTGTGAATTTATGGTCTGTATTAACCTTAAAAAAATTTCTCTATAGTATATTGTTTTCTTCATGCTCTTGGTGTACTATTATTTGGAGCTTTATCACTTGCAATATCAGAGCAATGGGACAATAAGAATGACTTGCGAAATTTCATGACAACAAAACAAGATGAAAATCATTGAAATCATACTTACTATTTCATACCCTTTTGTTTTCAGGAATCATGAATTCATGATGATTACGAGGATGGGAAATAGATTGTCTATACTTACCAATTTTTACGTAAATTGAAGAAGAAAGATAATCAGTTTAAGGTAGCGATAAATCAGATTGTCGCAGATAGAGGTAGATGTTGGTCCTTTTTTCAAGTGTTGTATGTGTTTAAGGGAAAGAACTCTAAAAAATATATATGGTTTCTAGCGTAATGGTTGAGGTATTGAAACATTATAAGGTAATAAAAGAAAAGATAAAAACTTGGATGTTCTCCTTCGGTTAAAAAAATCGTCTATTAAGGTGACCCAAAAATAAGATGTCTTTTTTCTTACTAGATTGCCCATTAGTGGCAAAATAGTGATCCCCGGACTAGTTAATGGAAACTTTGATAGAGTATTTGGGAGGTTATAAGCCAAACATATTTCTTTGGATTTTCAACAAAGTGCATTGGATCCACTTAACCCACTAGATAAAAAGTTTTCTGGCACTGTCACTTTTATGTTGATCATTTACTATATGTCGTCTCGGCGCATAGTGATCATTTGTACTCGACTAATTATATAGAATTCATAAAAGCATTGTTGACTCATATGTTGGGGGGAGAGGCAGACATTCATCTACCATGGCATGAGCTCTTTTGTTGAGAATGAAGTAGTATCTATCAGTGGTAATGCTTAGATTCTTTTGGTAATGTAAATTTAATTTTTAAAATCATTTTCATTTCGTTTATGTTTGATGTACTCCCTCCGTTTTAGGTTACTCCCAACAAACTAGGGAATTGCGGACTTCTAGGCAAAAAATCCAAAGCATGTTTAACGAAAAATAAGGGATATACTTAAGTATTAATCAACCCAAAACCTTACACCAACAATCCACCACCAACACCTAGCAGGCTAGCACCGCCAGTCCACCACCTAGACCATGAAACCACCCAACACCACCACCAAGCACCACCAGTCCAGCACCTGCTAGCACTACAAACCCCCCAACACCACCATCTAGCACAACGAAACCACCCGCAACCACCACCTAGTACCACCCACCACCCACAACCCCGATACCCACAACCCACGAAACCCAGAACCACAACCTACAACCCCGAAACCCACCACCCACCACCCACAACCCCTGAACACCACCCAAAACCCAAAATCCACGAACCCACAACCCCGAAACCCACAACCCACAACCCACGAACCCAAATCCACCACCCACAACCCCCGAACCCAGATCCACCATCTACAACCCCCGAACCCACACCCACATCCACGAAATCCACAACCCACGAACCCACAACCCAAACCCAGAACCCCAAAATCCGAAACCCACAACTCTCATCGGCAATTACAAAACAACAAGAAAAGGAAGAGAGTGAAAATGAAGGCGGTCATAAAAAATGGAAATCGGCAGCGACTTCCGGTGACGGTGGTATCTCTATGGTTTTGTCATTGCCGGTGAGAGTTATGGGTGTTGGGTTGAGATGGGAGAGGAATGGTTTTGGGGGAAAGAATGAAGTTAGGTTAATGTTAGGGTTTAACTTAATAAGTTAAAATCAGTAGTTTAATTAGGGTGTTTAATAAAAAGAGTAAGGATAATTTTGTAAAATCACAGATAAAAACTTACTAAAATAGGAAAGAAAAATTTTTGTTGCAAGTAATGTGAAACGGTCATTTTTGGTAATTGTTGCGAGTAACTTGAAACGGAGGGAGTATATTTTTAAAATTTGGATTGCTGATTTTACATATATTTATTTCATAGGCATTATGTCTGTGTCACATACCGAAATTCCAACATGCCTTGGAAATTGAAGTTGAAGTAGGCAACCGACAAGACTGGTGGCTTCAGTTTTTTACGCCCTTAAAAATGATTGCCACAACACAAGGGGGACTTAAGGGCTAAGGTGAATGAGTGCAAATTAAATAAGCTTACGGAGGCGTTGCACTCTCGAAATAAATTTATTTTTTTTTCAAAGTTTTTAATATTTTCACTGAATAATTAACTTATTTTTTCCTTGTATAAACAGGACATTATTTTCATCGTTGTTTTGCTACAATGTTGTGGTGAATCATCAATCAAATTTTGTAACAAAAAAGATTCGGAAATTTCATAAACATGATGTGTTGAAGATGGGGATTGAGATGTGGGAGGAGGCTATTGCTGGAGTAGAGCATTCCTTTTCCCACAACTCTAAGCAAGGTAAGAACTCACATCAGTTCACCTCCTCACATCACAACTATGAACAAGACAACATCTCACATTAGTCCCCACCCTATGCTCAGAGTCGTGGTGCGAGGAAGACAACTAATGTGAGTTGTTGTCTTGCCTGAGTTGTGGGGAAGAGATGCTCTACTATAGGGGTGAAAGTTCGGTTTTCGGTTTGGTTTTTTGCCCAAACTGAAACCGAACCACCATAATTCGGTTTCTTGATTTTGTAAACCACACCACACCACTTTAGCTTTGAAACCAAACCAAACCACCTAAATTTTGGTTTTCTTAAAAAAAACAAAAATGAACCGCACCGAATTTTCATATCAAACATCATAAACATCAAATTTTGCACAAAAAAAAAACAAACCAACACACCAATTAAAACCGAACCAAACAAAACCAAACCAATCCCATTTATACAAACATAATTAAACAAGTTTTAACCCAGATCCGCAAACATTCCTAGACATATTTACTATAATATCGAACTGCTATAATTTCGAAAAATTTAAGATAAAACCCTAATTTCATTGAACTAAAAATTGGAATAAATTAGTAGAAAAAAAATACAAACCAAATTAAAAGAAAAAAAAAGAGGACAAACCTCACATTCCACCGAAAAAACGTCGAATTTGGGTTTTTAAAGGTCAAATTCGACTATGAAAAACCTTTAGTTGATGGTGTTCGAAATCAAAACCTTTCATTTAGTTGATGGTGTTCGTTAAGCAAATTCAAATTTTTATTAATCAAAACCTTGATGTGTTCGTTAATGGCGGCGAGGAGAGACAAGAAAAACGAAAAGAAAAGAGGAGAATGAGACAATGAAAGCGAAGAAGAGGAGAGAGAATGGGAGCGGAATCCGGGAAAGAGGAGAAGAGGATAGAAGAGAGAAAGGGTGGAAAGAGAGAGAGGGAGGCTGAGAGTGATTAGGGTTTCTTTTTTAGCTTTATATACCTAGGGTACTTTAGTTTTGGGCCAGGGGTATGTAGGGTTGGGCCTCAAATTCGGTTTGGTTCGATTTTGTTCGGTTTTTCATTTTCCCGAACCAAAAACCGAATTTCATTTTTTTACACCGAAACCGAACCACCCTCCCAAAAAACCAAACCACATTCCTTATTCGGTTCGGTTTTTCGGTTTGGTTTGGTTTTACACCGAATTTCTTTCACCCCTACTCTACTACATCAAGAGTTTCCTTTCACAACTCAAATCTCATGTTTATAATGTTTGAAATAATCTTGTTCGCATGACCCTTTGTTTTGTTTCACTTTAATACAACGAAAAGACTCTATCATCTCTGACACATCATGTCCATGGAACTCCTGAATTTGTTTTGCTATAAGATGTAGCATGTGGTTGTGGTGGATGATTCACTGCAACATTGTAGCAAAACAACGGGGCTATCAAGTTCTTAAACCTGAGTTGTTTAACTTGATCATGCCCTAACGTGATTAAAGCATAAGGATGTCAAATAATGGTCGGTTTATACAAGGTAAAAAAAAAGTTAATTATTTATTAGAAAGAATAAAAACTTTGAAAAAAAAATTGCTTCAAGGGTGTATTGTATCTGTAATTTTGTTTAATTTGCACGCCTTCACCTTAGACCTTAAACCCCCCTTATGTTGTGGCAATAGGGCATTTAAAACTGAAGCCAACGGTCTTCTCGGTTGCCCCACTTCAACTTTAATTTCAAAGGCATGTGGTAGATTCAGTATGTGGTACAAACAGATGCCTACGAAATAAATGTATAAAAAAATAGCAATTTTAGTTTTAAAAATAAATGTCAAACATAAACGAAATGAAATGGATTAAAAACAAATTACGTCAGCATAGGATTCTAAGCATTGTCACTGAGGGCTACCACTTCATTCTCTACAAAAGAGTTCATGCCATGTCAGATGAATGCCAGCATCGCTGCCCCAGGCATACGAGTCAACCTCTGTTTCAATGAATTCTACATAGTTAGTCAAGCACAAATAGTCACTATGCATGTATAATCGATAGAAGAGTGGCATAATTATTTTTATCTAGTGGGTTAAGTGGATTCAATGCAATTTGTTGCATAGAATTCAAAGAAATATGTTTGTTATCCCTCCCAAATCCAGGTACCACTGCTTTGTCCCTAATGGGTAATTTAGTAACAAAGAAGACATTTTCTAAAGTCAGGGTCAGTCTAATAGGCGGTTTTTTTTACCAAAGGAGAAAGACTAAGCTTTTGTCTTTTTTTTCTTTCACCTTATAATGCTTCAATAGCTCAACCATTACGCCAGACATCATATACAATTTGTTGGAGTCATATTCTCAAACAGATACAACACTTGAAGAAGAGACCAACCTCTACCTCTATGTGCGACAATCTAATCTATCGCCACTTTAAACTGATTATCTTTCTTCTTCAAATTTAAAAATTGCAATGTAGGGAGTCTGTTTTTCATCCTCTTATTCTTTTGATTTCTTGAAAACAAAATAGTGTGAAATGAAAAGTATTGAGTTCAATGATTTTTGTCTTGTTTTGTTGTCATGAATCTTTGCAAGTCATTGTTATTGTCCTATGTAATACATTGCTCTGATATTACAAGTAAAACTCCAAATAGTAGTACACTGAGAGCATGAAAAAAAATATATATACTATTGTAAAGCTATTTTTGAGAACGAATGCAAAGTTAATATACATTGCAAATTCACATTTGAGAATCACTCAACTCTGAACAAAAATTTTGATCACAATACTAATTTCAGACCAAAAAATCCTGATCAATAATTAAGATCATAACATTGATTTTAGACCATATTAGGGTGCCCAACGAAAAAGGAAGAAAAATACGTGAAGAGGGCCGCCAACGAAGAAACAAAGCACAACAACAATAGCAAGCAAAAGAAACACAGCAACAAGATCAAGCATACAAAAGAACCTTAGATATTAAGGGAGTTGGTTTTTTTTTTTTTTTTTTTTTTTTTTTTTTTTTTGAGAGAGAAGTGTGAGTAAAATTAAAGGAGTTAGGCAAACGGTTTAATTTTTGAAAAAGAAATTACCGTTCCTATTTTGGTTCTTGTACGTCCCATGCCCTGAGAGACCAAGGGATTCTTGTGTTTATTTATGAGGATGCTAGCGCTCATAGCAATTCGGCTACTTGGCCCAAATAACTTCCAAGTATATTTTTAACAAAGAAAAAATAAAAAATTTCAAGACCTAGTGTAGACTAATATACCATCATGAAAAAGGCAGAAAAACTTGTATGAACCTGGTTCACAATAATATTAATGTGGATCCGAAGTGATACATGTGCGTAATTGGTTTTGTATTGAACATAGTGACCCTAATATTAAATATAATAACCTTAATTTTAACATATTAACCTTTAATAAAATTTGTGTGATTTTTAATATTGTTGCAAACCTGAAGTATGATGTCGTGATCCTAATTTTAACCTAGTGACTTATATTATTCATATTGACCAGTATGCCACAAGGACGGGGGTGAGAATCAATCCCAAGATTTCTTGAAATCGGGAGGGAAACTCTAACTACTTGAGCTGTCCCTCACTCATACCTCATACTCATGAGGTATGGGGGTTTAGAAACCTTGGGGGGAAGGTGGGTTTGGCTCATTTCATTTCCTTAGGTATCAAATATATGAAATTAAGGGGATGATATTTCATTCCATAATTGAACCAAGCACATGGTATTAAGTATCAAGTTCCAACCCGACCACTCTGCGAACCAAACGCCCCCTTAAGAGTTTGTATGAAACAGGAACCATTGAAGTATTAAACCAAGAAATGCTTGTCCTAATGTAGACTAACTAATGACATTATATCTCTATTGGATAATGCTTTTGATTAACAAGACATTTAGACTTGAAAAATATTCTAGAGATTAACAATGTTTTCATGGGACTTCTTAAAAGTTTAAACGGGGTATTCAACTCGATTTTCGAAAAGGTCATATCTACTTTATTCAATTATTATTATAGTCTTGTTCGAAAAAATAATTTTTTTTTAAAAAAAACTAATATTATTATAGTCAAATTTTCTTTCATGTAGCGGATTTTGTAGCTAGTCAATAGCAAATTAGCAAGCATACCCTGTCTTGTTCTTCTCGAATTGTGTTTTATTTCAAGAACTTTTGTTTGAATGAGGAGGCAAATTTTGAAATTGTGGGCTCAATGTTGTTGAAATTTCTCTGCTTTTTTATATTTTAAAACCTTTTTCCGCTTTTAGACACTATTTTCTTTAGTATATTCCACTAAATTTTCAATCATATAATTTTAAAAAATTACACACTAATTTGTTCATTATCATCCTTATTTTGTTGATAATATTGCTCAGCTTTTTTGGGCTTCTGGATATTCTTCATAGCATGAGAATATGAGATATCCTGCTTTCAAGAGCAGCAAAAGAAACTCCTTAGTTTGAGGCTAATCGCAATACCTTAAGTATGTATTTTTCACTTTCTACATTATTTTCATATTGAATGAAAGAATGTGATTTTTTTGTGTAGACCACAATCACCACATGAGATAAATTTTTGGTTCATGTAGCCGACCCCGAATTTTCGGCATTAAGGCCAACTTTATGGATATTGTGGTGTGCACCTATTTTAGTTTGTGTGTGTTTGTAGTCCATTTTGTAGACCTCTGTTAGTATTACATTTGCCTTTAAATAAATGCTTCAATTTAAGAGCTAGGGTTTTACTGTCACATAATTTAACTAAATGCTTCAATATATTTGCTGAATTGAATTATTTTCTGGATTGCTTATCATTTGGCCATTTGGGTGTGTTTCTTTTGTGGGTTATTGTAGGTATTGCTATCTGGGTAGTCAAGTTAAGTTCTTGAACCATTGGTTGTTTATTATGGTGTATTGAAAGGTGGTTAAAGAAAATTATAGCTTGTGGAATTTTTGAAGAATTTGTAATGGTTTCAACTGGAAATGAAGGAGGTTCTGGGTCTAATTTGAGCCACTCAGGTGACTGTGAGACCTTAAATGGGGGTAATAATTCAAAGAATCATGTGTCTTTGCAAGTTTCAACATCTAGGAAAGGACTACTAAGTGATGAAAAATCACCAGGGGGATTCGTCGAAAATCCTAATAGTCTCTCTAGCAGATTGAAGTTACTTAAAGTCAGTCCGAAAGGGAAACGGAGTTCTATCTCTGCTGGTTTTTTAAGGATGTCTGAGGACAAGGATGAGCTCTCGAGTAATGCTCCTGTTATGCAAGGTCTTAGGAAACGATTCAAAGATGTAATTTCTAGTAAAGTTGATTGGCCTTCTGTGAGGCGAATGTGCAAAGAGTGGGTTAAGAGACCATTGAATATGGTCCTTCTTTTGTGGATAGTTTGTGTTGCTGTGTCTGGTGCAATTCTGTTTCTTGTGATGACAGGAATGCTAAACCATGTTCTGAAAAAGAAATCGCAGAGGGATGAGTGGTTCGAGGTTAATAACCAGATTATCAATGCCCTCTTCACACTTATGTGTCTTTATCAACATCCAAAGAGGTTCTACCATTTGGTGCTTTTGTGTAGGTGGAAGTCGGATGATATATCAGTGCTAAGGAAGACTTATTGCAAGAACGGGACTGCTAAACCTAATGAACGGGCACACATGATGGTTGTGATTATTTTGCTTCACGTTAATTGCTTTGCTCAATATGCTTTATGTGGCCTTAATTTGGGCTACAAAAGATCTGAGCGGCCACTAATTGGAGTCGGTGTTTGCATAACATTTGCCATTGCAGCTCCTGCAGTTGCAGGATTGTACTGTGTTCTTAGCCCCCTTGGGAAGGATTATGAATGTGAAGCTGATGAGGAAGCCCCTAAACAGTTGAGGAGGCAATCCTTGGAGAAAAAATATGCATTTTTAACCCGAGATGAAAGAGGGGTTGTTGAGAATAAACCTGAGTGGAAAGGAGGTCTGTTTAGCTTGTGGGAAGATTTTTTTGTCTCATATCTCTTGATTTTCTGCTGCTTTTGTGTTTTTGGTTGGAATCTGGAAAGGCTAGGTTTTGGTAATATGTATGTTCACATAGCAACATTTCTCCTTTTCTGCATGGCCCCCTTTTGGATCTTTAACTTGGCTGCTGCCAACATTGATAATGAAACAGTAAGAGGGATTTTGGGCATTACTGGTATTGCACTTTGTGTATTTGGGTTGCTCTATGGAGGGTTCTGGCGGATTCAAATGAGAAAACGATTCAACCTGCCACCAAATAATATGTGTTTTGGAAAACCAAATGTTGCAGATTGTGTTCAGTGGCTCTGTTGCTGCTGGTGTTCTCTGGCCCAGGAAGTTCGAACTGCAGATTTCTATGAGACAGTGGAAGAAAGAATTTACAATAAGAATGGATTTGACAGCCATTCTACTCTTACCCCATTACCTCGTGAAGGTAGTGCTGGTAGGTCTGGTACTCAATCCATGTCTAATTTGAACACCTCATTTTGGCTAAATTCTGGTTCATCCAAGATTGAACCTTCAGTATTGATGAATGAAACTATGATTCCACCTAACCCAGCGACAATGAGAATGGAAGTCGAGGATCTTAGGGAAGTATGAAGTAAGATTGAACTGGATTTGATTCAAATATATGTCTGTAGTAATGAGAAACCAACTTTGCAGCCATATACTTTTCCTATCTTTGAAATGCATGGTTTTTGCTGCTTGCAAAGGGAGAATTCCATCTCTGAAGTAAGTATCTGGCTAGGTATATACAGCTGAATTCAGTTGATCTATTAATTTTTTATTGCAATTTCTTGCACAATATTTTCCTAGCTATTAACATAATTTCTTTCTTATTCATGCAGCTTCTTTTGGGGGATGATGTGATTATTACTCCTTTACTAAGCGTTTTCTGTGTGACCATTTTTTGCTGGTAATTTGATCGATGCATACAGGGAAACATTGTATAATTGCAGAAAGGAAATGCTTCCTCTGCAGGTGATTTGTAATTTTGCAAGGTACAAATATTTAGTTTTATGACTTGTAGTAACTAACAGTAATACTCAAGGTTTCTCATAACTGTCAAACATTATGTTCATTCTTACTCAAACAATTTTCTCTGTTTACTTATCTCAAAATTTATTTTCTGGAATATTTGCAAATTGCTGCATGACTGAACTTGATACTAGTCACTTGCAAGCGTGGTTTGAATTTGTATCGTTAGAATTTAATTATAAGTGTTGCTTAAAGTTCAGACCCATTCATTCTTGTTAAATAGGCTGCTTTGGGGATGAACCTTTCATTTTCGTTTATACTACGCAATTTGCTGGCACCAAAAGTTCTTGGAATAGCTCATACCTGGCACAGTAATATCCAATTTTGGCAAATTCCATTTGCTAGTTGACGTTGCTTAGCTTTTGCAGCTTCTCTGATGGCAACTTCATCCACGAAAAGGCTTGGCTGTTCTCCGGAAAGCCAAATTAATCTTCTTCCCTTATTCTAGACCCTTATTCATCTTCCTGTAACAGCACCTTGCAAATCTCTTAGACCTGCGCCCCGTTTCTCATCCAATGGTCCAAGTGAGTAGTGACCAATCTTTCTGTACCAGTTTCAGTAAATCAATGTCTGAGATCTCATATCATCAGTTTTGTCTACCCAGGCTTCATCTAGTTCGTTTTGCTCACCTTCCCCTTGGGTCTTCCATTGTAGGCCTGTCGTGGCCCTTGTCTTGCCTCCCCCACCCCCCGAGTTCTCCATTTTGCTCATCTTGTAAGATTAAGCATGAAGTGTGAGAGTAAAACTTAAAGGCTAAATATAACATTATCCTTTAATTAGATAGGATGGGTTAGTGTTTAGATTTCCAATCGGAAACTAACACAATTTAACTTGGGCCCAAGAAATTAGCCAATAATTATGGAATTGTTAACAAATCTTTTGAACGAGACTAACTCTATTTAATTATCCGTACGTCATATAAGATGACAGTATGATATGAATTGGACATTAAAAACCATACTAGTGTCGTAAGTTTTCGACATGTTTAATTTGATAGGTTAATATTACATATACATCTAACTAAATGAGTCGATTCGTGTTGTAATTTCCCAACCTATTTATCTCCAAATACGAATGTGACATGACACGCCATGATTGCCAACTTTAAATCCAAAATATCTGGTTTATGAACGAAAGTTGTTAGAAAGGTTCAATAATCCCATTTGAATGGTATATACGCGTATACCGACATACATACTTTTGTAATTACTCTTGATTTTATCCGTCTTTTCTCGAAACACTGCTTATCTTGGTGTCCACATATTCAAGGGGGTTGTACAATTGTTTTATATGAGTTGAATTAGCATATGCTGAATTATTTTTGGCAGAATTAAAATTATTTAATTAAAATCCTTACCCTTTTACTACCACATTGTATGGAGAAGACAGAGATGTGATTTTTCTGTCTGATATAGAAAAACATACTCTGAGTACTGGTTTAAGTACCTTAACTTGCCTGCTTTGCTGCTTTGACGGTGGCAAGACAACTAGACAACTTCAAGCATTCAAGATCTCATATCACTTATGGTCTATTTGATAAGTGGTAATGAAAATGAATTTGTATGTACATTTGTATTTAGACGGAAAATTTCTAACTCCTAACACTTATAAACTTATCAAGTGGTAAATATGAAAATAAAAAGAACTTTTATATTATAATAAAATAAATAAGGCAAATATGAAATTACAAATATACCCTTTAAACTGTTAAGTGAGCAAGGTAGGTGTTACTATGCAATTACAATATACCTCTTGATAAGTTTTATAAAATTATCAAGGTTAGGATTTAGACAGTCCTCGTATTTAGATAAGGAAAAGTTGTACATACAATTCATTTTCTTATGTATTACATACAAAATAAAGTTGTACATACAAATTCATTTTCTTAAGTATTACATACAAAAGTATTTTCTTATGTATTACATACAAAAGATGTATGATTTTTTTTTATTTGGATTAATTGTCATTGTGGACCGCGTGCACAGTGAGCACTATACACCCGCCTGCAATATCTAATGAGAGATTTGATGCATATATGCAGATTGCAATAGTAAAGCTATCTTATTGTACTTTTTTTTTAACCATCTTATTGTACTTATGTAGGGTTACTTAAATTATCTTAGATTAACTTCTGTTAACTTGTCAGTTTTGCAGCAAACAAAAAAGGTTATGGTCGTGTTTGGGGAAAAGCTGAAGGCTGAAACTGATTGTGTCAGTTTATTTTAACTAGTTGATTGTGTTAACTGATTTGACTGACTTATTTTATTAGCTTATTGTAGAAAAGTGTTTGGTAAATAGCTGATTGCCTAAAGCTAATTGATTATGTGAAATGACTAATAAACTAATTGTGGTGTAGGTAGTTCATATTAAGATTTTTAATTTAATGGGGGTATAAGTGTCATTTCACCATTAGAATTGAATAAACTAAGTAAAAAAGGCTCCTAAATGGAGCTTTTTAAAAAATAGCTTATTTAGTGGAATGAGCTTTTAAATAAGCTTCCCACCAAACACCTTTTATTAGCTTATTTAATAGACAGTAAGCTAATTAATGTTAGTCAAATAAGGTAATTTTGCTCAAATAAGCTTACGTCCTTTTTTTTAGCACTAACTTTCATTGTTATACCATATTAAACGCTAAAAAAGTAACAGGTAGTTTATTCATTCACATCATAAGAAAATATATTCACAGCCAAAATAGACAGCTAATTAACAAGCTTATGTTACATTAAAATAAGCTAAGAACTTAATTAAAAGATCAAATAGCAAGCACAAGTCCAGGCATGGACCGAGTACCACTACGCCCAAACATTTGGCTCTGCCAAAGGGTCTCTTTCTGGTTCACTGGCCTAATTTTCCACCCACTTTTATGGGGCCTAAGGTCTTTTACTGTGAGCCATGTATTAAAGTATTCTCTAAATTGTGTGATGAGCCCACCTTTTAGGGTCCAAACATGGACCCAATAAGAGTGGGTTCCTTCCCACCCCTCGGCGATGACCCGGTCTTCATCGAGGGTCATGATGGACCGGGGCTCGAATTGAAACTCGGGCGTGGCCGACTCACCAGTCAACACACGCCTCATGTGTTGGCATTGAGGCGGCCCATGAAACCACCACTCCAAGTCACTTGCTAAGTGTTTTGTGACACATTCTCCATCTCCTTTTGTAAGTGCATTGTAGAAGTCTTGTATCATAGCTATATTGGACTCATTTTGTGTATAAGTAATTTTTGACATGTTGAGGGATTTTTGTGTTGTTGTTGGAGGATTTTGATATTATAAGTGCAAAAGTAGGATCAAAGGAAGTTATAATGTGCATGGATATATTGAATAGAAATTTGGACCTCTATTTATACCCATAAATTTAAAGGGAAGGGGGCTAGGAAATTGGGGTTGGTGGCCCACTATTGGTAGCAAAGTTGAGATCGCATGCCCCACTTCTCCATCTCTTAATGTTAACTAATAAACATAAACTTTTTTGACACCAAACTAATAAACATAAACTAATATCAAACTAATAACACTAAACTATTTAAATTATTATAACTTGGTCTTTATTTTAATTTTTTTTTTCCCAATATAAAAAAGTGGTGCTATTACAGTATTGATTATACTAATATCTTTAGTGCATAACTACTTTTCATTTAGAAAAATGTATTAAACAAAATAAACAAATGCCTTGCTTCAAAGTCCTTACTATCTTTGGATTGGTGATTGAAACGGTTTTTTGTTAATCAAAGTTTATTCTATCAATCAAAACTTTTGTCCTTACATTTGCAAAGATTCGATATAAATTCTAACAATCAAAATTAACATATAATAATATGAGTACATATTATCTCTGTTAATAATTGTTCTAGTATAATTACGGGGAATTAAGTTCTTATAATTACGATACATGCATTCTATACAATTAATTTCGGCTTCTTGTGGGATCAAACTTGAGCAATGACCGACACTAGATAAACCCAATTGTGGAGAATTGGACGTTGGCTTAACTTGTCCACTTGACTGCATGGATACTTGTCTACACGGCTTCATGCAACATCCACATTCCAGCCTGTCACTTTATTATTATACTCCGTAGTTGACTGTTTGAATTTATTTATTTATTTATTTTTATTTTTTTTCCCCAAAGGTAAGGAGAATGGACTACTAAAAGTCGAAATCTTGTTTTAGAGATCAACGTGATTCAATTTAATGGGCAAAGCAATTTAGGATTGTTATGTGTGTTAGATTATATACTACCTCCGTAGGAAAAATGTCTAATCGTTACAAATAATATGTAACGGAGGTAGTAAATAATCTTGTACTCGTATATACTTTAGTATGTAGTTTACTTATGTACCCTTAACCCTAATCCTAATGTAAACTTGTATTATATATTAATGTTCAATCAATGAGAAAGCTACGGAAAATATTCACATATTCTCTCAATGTGTAGGCTGAGCCACTGAGCTAGGATGAAAGGATAAGGGAATTCTCCCCTAAAGGAATTTTGGATGTTTGATTATTAGTGATAGAGTATAAAACATATTTATAGGCCTCAACCATCAGCTTAACCTTTAGGTTGAGTTGGTTTTTTAACATGATATCAGAGCCAACGTAACACAAAATCTCATCCACCCTTCACTTTCAAGTGGAATGTTAAGTGAAGAGTATGAGGAGAGCCTATTTTCATCCACATTTCAAGCCTAAAAAGTTTTTTTGAACCTAATTTTTTTCTATCAATTTTTTTTTTTTTTTTTTACCACCTATAACTGTACAACACTACAACCTCACTTTTTGAACCTAATTTTATTTAAAGATTTTGTTAATAATTTTTCTAATACAAATTAAAGTAGATATAAAACCAATCTTAGGTTCAAAATACAGTACTAGTTTAAGCTATTGGTTGAGTTGATTTTTTGATGTAACAATGTAACAATTGTGAAAAGTAGGGCACAAGGTAAAATATTCATCTATCCTTTCAACCCAAAGTTAAACACTAAATAAAAGAGTTTCTACTTAAAGTCTTAAACTAAGCTAATGATTGGAGTGTAAGATTGGTTTTATATTCTATCAATATCATAACTCGCACACGTACACAATAATTAAATACAGTACATATGTTTGCCCACAAATCCTGTCATTTTGTGGCCTTCAAAAAAAAAAAAAAAAAAAAGGTGGGTGGCTAATTAAGCTATATATTAATTATATATCCAGCTGGTTATGGCCTTATGGAATAATGGGGGTGAGCTTAATTTAGGGTCCAATCCAAAACCTGAGATAGGTTACTTTTCATTGGTCAAATATGTCTACAATGATACCCATTTCTACGTAATTGAATCACTAAAAGCCATATACAAGTAGATATTAAGTGTTCTTTTTAGAATAAGACATTATAATGGGAAGACATATTTAGGTTTCATTTTATTTTCAAAAAAAAATAAAAATAAATAAATAAATTAAGACAATAAAATATAAGATCAATTTCAAAAAAAATAAGAGTTATCCAAATTTAAATAAACACTAAATATATTTAATTTAGTAAATAACAATCACATTAATAAAACAGTTATTTATATATTTGATGTTATTTATAAAAATTACACTATCCATCTTACTCTCATTAAATTTTTTTTTTTTTTAAAAAGTATTATACTTCCATAAATTCTTAAATGGACCTGTTTCACACTAATTTATTGTAGACCACTAACATTTAGAGACACTATGCCTGCTTCATTAATTAAAAAATAAATCACTATATTAGAATAAAGGTTATTATGTTGAATTAAAAGTCATTTTGGTGTTGTAAAGGCTATAAGAGGTTAATTTTTTAAAAGAAATTTTTATGTACTAGTCAATATGAATAATGAAAGTCACTACGTTCAAAGTAATGTCATACTTCAGATTCATCATAATACTAAAGGTTATACAAGTTTTCATAAAGGTTACTATGTTAAAAATAAGGTTATTATGTTAAAATTAAGGGTTGTTCAATATAATGTCTGTTGCGTGCGTATAAGCCTTGGGTCCACAATAAAATTATTGTGGACCAGGTCCACGCAAGATTTTCTGTTATACTTCATGTTTTCCCTTAAAATTGTAATAGTTTGACATAATTTCATAATGGCAAAAGCTAACAAGTGTCCTCGAGCAATTAGATAAGAGAACTAAAAAATGAAAATATTAAGGTAAAATAAATATTAATTACACCGATCACGCGAGATTTTTGCATGCATTACAAATTAAAATTAACACTATTTTAGATTAAATGGATCTTGCTAATAAGTATCCCGGGGCGTTAGTTAACAATCAAATATATTACTTCCTAAAATGGTAGCATTAATTTGGAAATGCAGGTCAAAATCATGTGTTGATCGTTGTATTTAATGTTTATTTCAAATTAATATTTCTACTTTTAGTCTTGTTATCTAACGCCTCCATGGGTTCATTAGCTTTTGTCTATTTAAATTAGTTATTTAACACTCTGGGGTGCTCATTAGCAAGATCATTACGGAGTATTAGTTTATTCGATCTCTCGTACATTTTTATCATAATTAATTTGTTAAACATAAAATGATATTTTGTCCAAAAATAAACATTCAACGATGTATTTTATTCTATGTATAGCAGCCTTTGTCTCTTGCTAAAACTAAATTTATTTAATCAGATGTGGGTGATAACTGATAATGTGTAATAATTGTGGGAATTTAATAATGTAAAACTGTCTTTATGATGTTAGTGGCGTATCTTAGTGCTCCAATATATGTATTTCATGTACAAAATAATAGTTTGACGTAGATAGAGTTACACTTGTCTGAGGTAAAAAGATACACTGTTATAAATTTTTTAAAGGACACGATAATTATAATCTAATGTACATCTACAAATGTCATTCTACTAGAATAAGGCATTAAAAAATTTGCCGCATATAACAATTCACAAGATATAACGTGTAATCGAATAGGTCAAGATATAATACGTGGGTATATATATGAGAACAAAAAATAAGATATGGTTGATTAAATCGATCAAGATATTATGTTTTTACGATTTTACAAACACCAGAGTATATGCGAAAATAAAGATAGGAGTAGTTGATCAACATTGTACGATGGACTTGAGTTTTCATTAGCAATAATATGAAAGCAATAATATAGTACATATGCATGCCTAAAATAGTACGTAGTATGTATCATGATGAGTTGCTAGTTCAACGAAAAAAAAAAATTCTAATCCATTGACAATTCATACTCATCAAGCCAACTCAATGTCTCAAAATATCTATATCATATCTTTGAAATCTAAAAATAACTCATAAACTTCCTACACATTGTGCCATAAACAATAATTTCATAATTTGTGTTTAATTAGCTCTTTAATTTGTTAGAATCACACAAACTAACGATTTTCCAAGTTATTATTAAAGATGGCCTCTAGAAGCACAACATTATTTGCTATCTTTCTCGCATTGAACCTTGTTTTGTTAGATCGAATTTTCGCCACATTTGAAGAGCGGCCTCTATTGGAATGCCCCCCGGAAACCCTTGAGTTGGGTGCGTGTACTGATGTGCTTTATCTAGTTCATCTTCGCATTGAATCAACTCAGAAGAAGTTGTGTTGTAACATTGTAGGCAACCTTATTAAACTTGATGCCGCTACATGTCTTTGTACCACGGTTTTTTTTTTTTTTTTTTTGGTGAAGGTGAACTAGAATTAAGTAAAGAAAATAAGGTTCATACAGACCATTAGTTAGGTGACATGCCACCGTAATTAGGGGGCCACTTAGGACTAATACAAATGTCTAGATTAAATATCTCCGAAGACAAAAGGTTACAGGAGCTAAGTAGTACATTAAACTGAGGAAGCCAATGCTGGTCAGGCATGATGCTGATGGGAGTGAGAGGGAGCTCAGCTTTAGCTCTCCTGGCAATAGAGTCCACGTGCTTCAGTCTTGTTCTCGGAACAAACACCAGAGTTGAATCTTCGCACTGTTGAAGAAGGTCCCTGCAGATCATGTAAAGATATGTTGCTTCATCAGATGGGGTGTTGTGATTAGTAATACCACAAACCGCCCTTTGACAATCAGAATAAATCACAGCATCAGTCCAATTATTTTCTAAAATCAGATGTAATCCTGCCATAATTGCTAATATTTCAGCAACTAAAGCAGAGGGGGCATTGACATGTCTAGCTAATCCACCTAGCCAATTTCCAGAAGAGTACATGCTTAAACAAGCAGTGCCAGCCGATAGAGAGGAAAGGGAGAAAGATGCATCCACCATTACAATATGGTTAGCCATGGGAGGTGTTTGGAGGGAGCAAGTAGGGAGTGTATGGATAGGTTTGTCAGAGAAGA